TTTATTGCAGGCCCACGATCGTTGCATTCCTAGACATACGTGCCGCTTTTGACTCCGTTGATGGACCTGTTTTATGGCGTTGCTTGCCAAAGAAGGGGTGCCAGAGAAATATACCGCCATCTTACCAGCACTTTACCTTCACACATCCGGCAGAGTGAGGGTCTATGACAAGCTTTCCTCGAAATTCGCTGTCAATAGTGGTGTGCGACAGGGCTGCCCTATGTCCCCATTCCTCTCCAACTTCGCAATCGAAGACGTTCTGTCGAATGCTCTAGAAGGTTTCCAACATTTTGTCTTAGAGCTTCTACCGGCTGAGCGCGCGACCGACTTAGATTATGCTGATGATATCGCCTTACTTGGTGACGATCCTCAGAGTATGCAACTCATTCGGGATCGTTTGGCGGGTGAAGCATCTAAGTATGGTATGAGTTTCGCTCCATCGAAGTGTAAAGTACTGCTCAAGGATTGGCTTTCACTTGCTCCCGTACTCACTCTCGAAGGTGCACAACTTGAACAGGTAGATAGTTCCGTCTACCTTGGGAGCTGTGTTTCTGCTGACGGCACTATCAGCAAAGAAGTTTCGCTTCGTATCGCTAAAGCTCGATCAGCATTTGTCAATCTGAGACATTTGTGGCGTCGTCGCGACGTCTCATTCTCACTAAAGGGCCGCGTTTACAGCGCATAAGTTCGCTCAGTATTGTTGTATGGGTGCGAGTCCTGGCCGATTCGCGTGGAAGACATGCGTCGTCTTTCTGCGTTCGATAACGGTTGCTTAAGGAGAATCGCTCGTGTTTGGTGGCAACATCGAGTTAATAGTAATGACGTTCGACGTCGCATTTTGGGGAATGCGAGTATTCCCTTCAACAAACTGATTTTGTTGCGTCAGTTGAGATGGCTCGGTCACTTCCTACGCATGGCACCTGAGCGTCTACCGCGTCGCGCACTATTCGCTCGTCAAGGACCTGGCTGGAGGCGACCGCGTGGTGGTCAGCCTTCCACTTGGCGGCAGCACATGAAATCGCTGACGTCGTGTCTAGCCGCTGTTGGATCTGTACGTCTCCCAGGATGGGGACCCAAAGATGAGGAGTGCCAATGGCTTAGCACTCTTGAAGATATGGCCCGCAACCGGAATCAGTGGTAGAATTGTGTACAGTATTGTGTTGATTCACATGTTCAATACTACAAACACTGAAAATGACAAAAAAGAGTAAAAGCGGCGTGTGAAAAACAAACTAAAAAGGTTTTGTTCTACTTTTTGTCAGAATGTTCCATTCTTCCTACGGCATATTAGTTGAAGTGTGTTGCTCACCTTCAACTAGCATGCCACGATGATTACGACGCGATGAATCTTGCTTATCTGCTGATCTCCATGGTTTTATGCTGGCTCTATGTCTAGTTAATAGACTGTTGAGATTACATACATACATACAAACGCTCCAGACTACAACAAACACATCAACTAATCAACAATATATTTTCCGGCATCCATTTCACCAAAAAGGAAGCGAACAATGATCAGTTGCCATTTTTGGAGGTGTTTGTGAGAAGACATGCTTCTGGGTCACTGGAAACAACAGTTTATCGGAAAGCGACCCACACTGATCAGATCTTAAACTACCGCAGTAACCATCCGAACATATACAAGCGAAGTTGCGTGAGGACGCTTTTCAAACGGGCCCAGACACATTGTAGCATGCCGCAACTGAGGAAGGCGGAGGAAGACCACCTATTTAGCATGTTTCAGCGAAATTCATACCCTATAAGCTATATTCTACGCTGTCTGATGTCGAAGAGCCAGTCACAACCCGCATCCACATGTGCAACAGAAAGAAGAACGATTATCCTACCTTACATCTATGAGATTTTTGAAATGGCAGCCAAGCTTCTAATGCCTCACGGAATAACTGTTGCACACGAAGCAACTGAAACCTTTCGAAGTAAACTTTTTTAATGTGAAGGACAAACTCACTAAGAAAGAAACATCGGGTGTAGTTTACAAAATTTCCTGCAAGAACTGTGACAAGTACTATGTAGGCCAGACTGGAAGAAAACTTGGCACAAGACTGCCCGAACATAGTCTGGCCATCCGCCGCCACGATGAGAAATCCTTAATGTCAGTACACATGGATGCCGAGAACCATCAGTTCGATCTGGAGAACGTCGAAATAGTTGGAAGAGCAAGAAACCGCAGAGCGCGTGAGTTCCTCGAGGCCTGGCATTCTGGCCGGAATTCAATCAACAAACACCTGGAGCTGGAGGGTGTCTATGAAGCTCTGCAGGTTAAGCCAGCATTAGGCACCAGATCGACAAGGAGAAGAGGTGCCCACTCGAGCGACTCACGTGAACAGATCGAAGGCTGACATTCGAAGCAGGCAACAATCAATAGTCACTCGGATCTGACATTGATTTGCGAGACCGCGAATCAGGACTGAATAGCCGCACTGAAGATGTTACCTGGTCTTCTTCTAAAAGAGTTTGCAATTATTGTTCGTTCGACTAAGCTCACCTTTAAATGCAGTGGAATGCCTGAGAGTCTCTTGTAGACTCCATTGTTACAAAGCATTTGGATGTATTTCACAGATTTTCTGCACAGATTTTAAATGATTTGTATCATCCACTCCACGATGAGTTATCGAAAACTCGTTCCCTCTCATCTACACGCTCAAACTTCAAGGTTCTGTACGCTCGCATTGCTTCTTATCATAACGCTGTTTTGTCTTATTAATCACGTCTTCTAATGAACTCTACGAAGATCATTGATGCCACGCGTTAACGTCTACTTGAATAAATGTATGTTTTTTTCACCATTTACCAGTCCTTTTAAGTAGACCTTTTTGTACCTATATTTTCTTATCCGCGGTTCTAGTGTAAAAACGCACTGAAAATGTGCTCAGTCGGGTACATAAAGCTTACTTTAACTTGACTTAAACCAAATAGCTTCTATGCAGAAACATTGATTTCATCGAGAAAATGCCAGCTTCTCAAGGATACAAACCAAACGCGGGATTCGTAAGCAGCAAATGGTGGAGAAGGTAGCCGATAAAATAGAGTGATGAATGTGATTTAAACTGTGCATGTGGTTCATAGGGTTCTGAGCAGGATCGACCAGCCTGTCGCCGAGCTCTAATAGCGCGATAACATCAATATTTGCCCAGTAGTCCCATCTTCTCAGAAACCATATCGGGTGAAGACGAATAACCCAGGAGCGGTGTGCATACTACTTATTCATGAAGTACTCTCGGCAGTCTTGAGGACCCGCACACATTGCGCTTAATTGTATTCGACGACTCTGCTGTGAAAACAATTTAGGGATGGCATTTGCAGCGGACATGAGATCTTACAGTAGAAACATGAGGGGGATAAGGCGAGTAGCAACAATCAAGTGTGTAACGGTTTCATTCTTCAGCAATCATGCAGCTGTGCGGCAAAAATTCTTCGGTACTCCCAGCCAATTGTGGTATTTTGCAGGGAGCCATCCTATCCCGCTTTGTATACTCCGTCTACGTCGAAAGTGTCCCCATTTCATCAAACTTCATGGGCTATATATGTGTTGATGACGTCGTCCTGGGTTGCACAACCCCAAGCATCAAGGACTCTTTGGAACTCCAACGAGGGTTATACGAACTGGTGACTTGGTCCAACATTTGGTACTCTCTCTCTCCTTCTCTCAACCCTGCCAAGCGTTCTGAAGTAACGTTCTGTTTTCAACAACCCAACAGGCGGCATCCCCTTGTACATAGTTCCCTTCCCATAATTGTGGATAACAAAAGCGTACCTCGTTCCTCTACCGTAAAATATAAAGGACTTTTCTTATCACACAATATATCTTGGTTTACACGTGTTCTTGAAACATTTAAGAGTTAGAACGCACTCTTGTTATGCCCTTAGACTTGAAATGCTTTCCGTTCCACGTGTTTTGATTCTAAGGTTTGAAACTGCATGTGTTCTCCCTCACTGGTTACACTGTTCCCCGGTTATTTTCTCAGGGTTGCTTCAAAAAGATTATGTCCTTCTTGTCCGTTCGCTAAAATTTATTTCTCGTTGCTCTGAGTTAAGAGAAGAACCGCTCATTGATTTCATTGTTAACACGCATTTTGATGCATGCATAGAGTTTTCATCCAAGATTTTAAATGACCTCTCTCACCGTTTACACGGTATTCTAGCCACACTATATCTACTTCGTCCACATGGGCAAAATTTAAAGTTTTAATTTCGCGCACCTCGTCGTATCTTGTCTTTTCTATCACGCTTACTAATCGACCCAACAGGAGTGAAACATCAGTTTTGTGACCGCACGCTTGAGTGAAGAAGCAAATTTTCGTTTACTGCTGTCAGTTGTTATTACTCATTGATGTATTGTGGTATTGCATTCCGCAGTATTGGTGTCAAAATGCTGGAAATGCACCCATACGGGTGGGTAAAGGTTACTTTGACCTGCCTTGACTTGTAGCGCCGATCGAACTGGAGGACAGAGAAAGGGCCAACTGTTGTTTCACATGAGTGCGTTTTGAAAAAAAATGAGGGATAGTAACTATCTCAGTTAAAGAAAATGTGGGGAACGAAACCTCCTTTCTTCTGGGAAATGAAACCAAGCGCAACAAAGTGAATCGTGTTAGCAGAGGAGAAAACCGTGAGATATAAGACGAGATGGAAACGCACAACGTTGGCTAGCTGCGAGTCTGTTAGAATGAACGAAGGTTTGATGCAAGAAATAGAGACGAGTTAACTTGGATGGGAGCCGCTTAGCAGGTGAAAAACTGCCCGAAGCAGTTAGTCACGAGTCGTAACTGATTGGCTGTACAACTTGTGACTCTATCCACAAAATTGATACGTGTCAGCGTGAGCGGTGGTGAAGAACAAGGTGGGGGGGGGGACACCAATAAATGTGACATTTATCACTATTACATTCAGATGGGGAATGCAGCCGTGTACGTACAAGCAGATGTGCAGTAAGAAATGGCTACGATGGACAAAAAGAAATGAGTCAGGCTAACACTTACTTCCAACCGACAGTGCCTACAAAAGCGCACTGGAACGGATAAATTGAGGGCCGGATAATCCTGGGGATCTCCGAGTTTGGCGATAAAAAAGGTGGAGAATGGGAATCTGAAGCAATGATGAAGCCAAGAAAAGTCGCGCCACCAAGGTGATAGGGGTTTATTATTCGAAGCATTTGCATCCGAGAACACAACCTTGGTTTGGTTCATCTCGATGGGTTCGTTTGTTATAAGTGTAAGGGAAGGTTGAAGTCCGTCGTACATGGGACCACCGCGATCGTGGGGATTCTCACTTTGCTCGTCATCAAAGGAGTGTTCACGACGATGAGCGAAAAACTGAGCCTGCATTTTCAAAATAGAGGAAACGACAGTAAAACTGATAGAGGGAACATGACAGCCATACATGAAGCGACACAAAGAAGCAAAGTACCATCAAGAAATTAATCGCGAATAACCCGTATCGTTCTACCCTTAAGCATCTCCATATGCGCGCATGGAATGGACTGCTTCGAGACTGAATACGATTTTAAAGCTGCAATACCGAAAATACTGGAAGAGTGAAACAAACAAACAACAACAACAGCAGCATATAAGTCGTTTGAACTGATACTTCGATGCGATGCAACCATAATGAACTGCGGAACGAAGAATAAGAAGATGGGGAGAAGAGGGACTTACCTGGAAACCCTAATGCCCTAAGCAAACATTCAGGGTCAAAGCGCCTACACCTTGTGTCAACAACATGCCGTTACGAACAGTTGGCTATCGTGCATAGATAAGACGGCATCAGCGAGACAGTTTCCTTGCGGCTTTAACTGCCCCGCGTCATAATCAGCCATTATCCTGCAGATAAGTCAGCATCAAACACACTTTAGATAGGCAATCCGACTAGGAGACGGCAGCAGACGGGCCCCTGGTGTCGGTTGCGAGCCATGTCCTGTAACTTCTCGAGCCAAGCACAAGGCGAGTCACGTGGACTCCGGCCCGGAAGGCGAGACAGACCGACGGCACCCAGTTTGGTCGTCAGTGACTTCATTTCCCGCTACCAAGTAAACTTTTGTCCGTCTCGAAACTTGCGCCGCCCTATATCTGGCAGACTAAACAAGGCCCTCCTAGGTAAGCGGTGACCAGGTTCCGTAGTACGTGCCCAAGCCAAGTCAACTTATTTAGTGCCATCTGTTGTTCTAAGGAACTAGCTTGGGTATCATTGTCTAGCACACGACTACGCACATCTTCGTTGCGGACACGCTGGTGCCACCGGACACCAGCAACGCTCCGCAGACAACGATTAGCAAAGACTTGAGTGTAACCAAAGTCATGTTTCAAAATTGCCGAAGAGGTTCCGTAAGTCCGTTGCTTCTCCATATCTACCCAGTCTCCAATTTTGGAGATATCTAATGATGCCAGATAATATCAGAAGAGTAAGGTTGTGGGATGACATTGTCAGTTGGTGCATTCTCGTCAGCCACGTATATGCAAATAACAAGGGAACCGAAATAAGATAACAGGAAATCGATTGGTGGTATTCTTATTGGTGTGTTTCTCGTCACGACAGTAGCCTTAATGTCACTGGCAGCGGTTTCTGAACACAGTATGGTGGGCGCTGCAGATCGATAACAACGGCCTCGAGGAGCTTGAGAATAAGAGGCTTTGAGTGCGCATGAGGAATTCATTCGTGTTTGCCCTAGCAAACCGGGGTGTCAAAGCACAGTCTTCGTCTTTTTATTTTCTTATTTGGAATTATAAAGGGGATTTCAGGTTTTACCTCTAATGATGACTGGTTGTTAACTAAGGTAAGCCGAAATAGGGTTTTTATGTGCTCAGATGGGTGCATTTCGGCGTTTTGAAATATATACTGAAGATGTGGACTAAAGTGATATGATCAAAAGTGTAATATTGTACGAATGAAGAAAGACAGGAAACGTGGCGCACAGGTGTCAATCGAATAAACGGTCCCGTATCAGCAAACAACCATTGTACATTGCCGTTCTGTTAACAGGACAGCGTTGAACCAGGATGAAGCTTCATCACGTTACCGAAACGCTTTTCGACAATTCGCTTGAGTCGGATTATGGGTTTATGGTTGAAATAAATAAATCACTTATCATGTGCAGTTTTGAGCTTGCTTCAAGAAATCGGCATAGGCCAGCATTGGTGCGACTTTTGGATTAATCTAGTCCGAGAAAACTGACAAATCCGCAGTAGACGGTGTGAAAAGGATGTTCCAGTGTGAACGCACGTGCCGAGTTAAAATCACCTGGCTAAAGATGATTCGTGCGGAGGAAAAGCAAACTGGGTATGTTCCTGACCTATGGAACAGGTTAGAGACGGCTAGGGGCATTAGGGGCCACATCTAATGTACACAGAGTGTGGCGCTGAATCAAAAAACAGCCTGTAACAAACGGGTAAAGGGCGTGTTGAATTCATGCGGTATTAGCTATTGACAGGCGAGCCTCAGGATGCATTGCACCGGAGTAAATACATAGCGAGTAAGCTGAATACTAAGCCGTGTGTCAAGAAAACATGACCGTGAGGGGAGCAATAAATGAGATAGTTGGTGTAACCGGAAGCGCGAAACACGGAAACATTCCAGTCAGCACGCGGTCTGCTCCACATAGCCTGATCAATGTGCACTAATGCAAAGATGTGGCTACGAAAAGCTGGTAGGCTATTGAAACACGACCAAAACTGGCAAGAATAAAGTTTTCGAGTACTGCATCGCATAGTAACAAATTTTGGAAATGCTAAACAATGAGTAGCGTAGATTTCAAATTAGGGAACCACAATAACCTATAGAACTTAATTAGCACAAATGGAGGCACTACGACTTTTAGCAAATTACCCTATGTATGAGTAGCAGTTTTGACTTCGTAAACAATACTCATTTCGCTCTCCCGGTATCTACCACAGTTCAAGATGCAGAAGTCAGCTGTAAGATGGTGCTAATCCAACGCAAAGCACGATTAAAATTCCCACCTTTGTTTGAACACCCTATATTCTGCCCATAATGCGCGTGGAAACTAAACCGCACGTCGTCAAATAATGTCAAACAACGATCTAGCGAGTGTTGTGATGCACGCGTTATCGACGTTGTGCAATTCACTCTTGCGTTGCAAGTGTCTACGAACACCAACGTTTCTGTTACGTGAAAACTAATCAGCCACTAATTTGTAGGTGCAGACTCGAATACTGCATACTTAGTACCGTTAGAACAACGGGAAATACTTTTAATAAGAAGACAGAGATAGTTCTCAAGCGAATTACATGTGATACAGCGTCTACTGGTGATGGACTTGGGTTCAAGGCCACCGGAGAATGATAAACTAACTGGTTGTTTCTAAGCCTTTCGGAATTGATAACTTCATGAATGATTCCAAGCGTGTTTCAAGACATCAAAGAAAGTTGTTGTGTATGCGCAAGACTAATCGAATCCGATTTATCGCTACGGTCTTGGTAAAGCGTAGAAAACGTGAATTTGTGTGACGTAATAAGATCCGGAAAGCAAAGATGACAGTAATTCTACGAAGAAGTGCCAGAATGCGCCCGCCGATGGATAATGTCACAGGAGCATTAGAGGGGGGTTGATATCACACTGAACCCAGTTGAGTAAATACAGCTTCACTATGGAATTCAAGACGATGCCGGCTTTACCTAGGTAATTGGTTCTCCAAGTGCACACGAACTGGGAAATTCTATGTGATCTGGTACCGATTGGCTCGTATTCCATTAAATAAATAAATAGTTTTAGTCCTGGCAGTGCGGGACGCGCCTAAAAAAGCATGATCATAGTAATACAAACGCGCATGATCAGTAATTGAACACGAATATTACAATTTAACCAGTACATACTAGAGTTATGTTGTATGTATATATGTAAGTGTTTGGGTGAGTAATCATGTCGAATGTATTTGTTACTACTGTGCTGAAGTTGCGGTTGTTTTCGGTGAATTCGCCAACATACGAAGGGATCAAGTAATATCTTCGAATTAGCTGACGCTTTTGAATGAAGTGACATCCTCGAAAAAGCATGAGGCAGTGACTTTATTTATTGGCGAGTCGTATCTGCCATGTCACAGTGTTGTTAAACAGACATATGTGACTTCTTATAGGGAGAACGCTTGCCAGGCGAAAATCTACCACTTCCTGGAACACTGCCGCCGAACCATTCGCTGGAACAGGATTAACCCGGAACACCCAGCTGGCACCAAGCCTTCTGTGGGTACCAAGCTTCTGGGTACAGAGTAAGGTCCTCAATGTGACGGAGTTACCATCAAACAAGCGCACAACGCCGACATTTTTCTTCGGTGTTGCCAACAGCGTTACCTAACGAGGACTCAGGCTATGCACATAGGTTAAAAGCCTTGAACAGTGTTCTGTCGATAATCTCCTCAAACTGACGAATGGAAGCATGAACATCCAAGGTGAAACAAGTTTGCAACGAAATCTACCTTTCCTTGTCATTCAAGGGTGACGTGATAGCAGAAAGAATAGTTAATCATCATCATCACCATTAATACACGTTAGTTGAAAAGAAACACACCTCAGCTAATGTGTCGCAACACAAAAAGATAAGTGATTAAAAAATTACAGAAACAAAAAGGAATCTAAGCAAGTACATTGTTCAATATTATATTATGCGTTATGCATGGAGGCTGGATTGGAGAGGGATTTAAAGAGGAGAGGGATGGACAAAGAAACTCACAACACAAAGACCACTGGGGCCAGCTCTTCGCCATACCAGCAAGTGTGTCCAATCAAACGCGACTATCGTCCTTAGGACCCCAGCCAGGTAGTCGGAATGCACCAGCCGACACCAACTTCGAAGTTATCGCTTGGCTCCCCTCCTCCTCTTCCAACCGCACCCGCGGCGAGCAAATAATGCACATCGCGAGAGTCGGTGTGCTGGCATGCGCAACACGTGGCCAAGCCATCGGAGCCTGGTGCGTGATATAATGGTACTGAGCGGTTCACTCGCTCTTCTTGCACCAAATACGCGACGCCGAGCACGCTCATTGCTCACCCGGTGCTCCCACCAGACATGAGCTAAGCTGCGGAGGCAGTGATGATCGAACGTGACAAGCCCCTTTATGTCTGTTGACCTTATGGGCTAGGTCTCACTACCGTATAAGAGGGTTGAACGGACAGCTGCAGTACCAGCTCTGACCTTCAGAGCGAGAGTAATGTCGCGTCTGCGCCAAAGGTGGCGGAGATTGGCAAAAGCACCTCGAAATTTTGCTAATCGGTTTGTGATCTCATCTTCAATCCCACGGGCGCTAATATAGCTGCCCAGGTACTTAAATTTCTGAACGACTTCTAGCAGATCACCACCAAGCGTTAGCGCAGGATTGGGTCCCTGCCAATCTTGGAGAAGTACTTTGCATTTCGATGGAGCAAAGCATAGCCCAAAACGATTGACAGCCAGTGCTAATTGGTCCAGTGCTGCTTGGCAAGTTTGTGAGCTGTCACAGATTAGGGCAATATCTTCCGCGTACTCCAACTAAAGTCACTCACCAGGAAGTATTTCCACGCCATCTAGGTCGTGTCCAGCGAATGCTGTTTCCAGGATTTCGTCAATTGCGAAGTTAAAGAGGAAAGATGACAGCGGGCAACCTGGTCTCACACCGCTGGAGATACTGAAGCGTGGCGACAGTTCGCCATATACCCTCACTCTGCCCGAACTATGCGCGTACAGCGCTTTGATAATGTTTACGTATTTAGTGGGCACACCTTTTCTCAGCAAACAATTCAAAGGGCACATCGATCGACTGAATCGAAGGTACCTTTGATATCCAGAAACACAACAATGGTGGGTCGCCAACCAACATGGCGGTGCTCCAACAATTGACGCAAAGTGAAGATGTGGTTGATGCAGCCCCGACCTCGACGAAACCCAGCTTGCTCTTCGCGGATCTGGCTTTCATGAGTGCCAATCAGTCTGTGGAGAACGACAGACGCAAGCAATTTAGAGGCAATTGATATCAGACTGATACCTCTATGATTGCCGCATTCCGAACGAGAGTCTCCTTTGAAAATTGGGACTATAACGGAGCGGCTCCAGTCGGCTGGGACAGTTTCCTGCTCCCAAAGTTTCACTAGCAGCTCGTGTAAATCGTGTAAAAGAGCAGGTCGCCCGAATTTGCAGAGAACTGGAAGAACTCTATCTGCCTCAGGCGGTCTTATGCAATTGCAGCAGCCAGATCATACGTTTGATTTCTGCGCGTGAGGGCGGACTCAATGAGACGGCGTATGGAGAAGGGCGCTCAATGCCCGAAAAAGCAAATGATAGGTTGGTGAAATTGCCTTGCAAAGTGTTCGGCCCAAAGCTCCCCGCGTTTTGACAGGCTGTGGATCGGTGTTTAGATCACCATCCAACACCATATTATCCGCGCTTCTTCTGTAACGAAGGAGATCGTTAAGTTGCTGATAGAAATCATCCTTCACCGAATCAATGCTATAGTTTGTAGGGGCGTAGACCGCAATGACAAAGAGGCACCGTTTGTCTCCGCGCGACTTCGAGGCATGGAACGAATCAGCTAATCTAACGACGCACTTCTGCTTTTTGGCTGGGATCCAACCGAACAGGGCAGCTTCTGCCTGGGGACTCAAAACAATGCCGACGCTAGTTTGACCGGCATTTGAAGCTGCCTCATTGCCAGACAGGCGCAATGAGAATGTGCTGCCAGTGCCGTATGTGGGGGTTGCAGGATAAGCACGGAACTCGAATGTTGCAGGCGGGTTTCCGATAAATAGCAAATATCGATCGATAGGGTAACTAGTATTCGAGCAAGTGCTGCTTGTTGGCCAATCTGTAGCAAAGTGCGCAACCTTGAGGCATGCCAGTCTTAGCGAGGATCGAGAACTCAAAAGGGAGACAGATGAACTGACGGTGTCCGCTTGGTTGAACATGGACTTGTCGACTGGATTGAGGGGACGTCTTGCGATTGTGTATGAGTTGAAACTAGAAGACAAGCGACTATTGGATCAAGGCGGGGAACGGCCAAGAATTGGGGCATTGAAAATGAGGGAGATAAAGGTGAAGTTGGAACGGGGCGCGAAGGATGAAAAAGCACAAGAAGGGAAATAAGATGGGTGGAAGGTCTGAGCAGTAGCATCTAAAACCCCATCCATCCTGTTCGACGCATCAGATAGGATGACGTTTATTATCCTCCGGTACGTCCAGAGCATCAAGAAATTGTCTGAAAATCGGTTCATTGTATTGCGTGAGCAAGATGCTGTCAGGTTGCCCAGCCCGAGACAGGAGAACGATTAGGGATCTCAAGCAAAGCCTTTGGTTCATCAAACCTTACCGCAAGGCAGCGGGGTTTCGGCACTGGACTACAGAAAATCCGTTTGATGGAGTAAGGAGCCACCCACACTCCAAGCCCCAACCTGGAGGGCCAGGAGACTGAGTTTGTCTGGCCTCTAACCATTGACCAATCTGGTATGAGTGGCTCTGAAGGTGCTAAGAGACACCACCCAGCCATAGCTCAATGGATCACTGAGGCATACAAACCATCGCACCACGGCAAGGTCCAGCTTCACCGCTATTGAAAAGGTAGTCCGGACGGATTATAGTGCATCAACCAGAACATTCAAAGCGGAAGGCTTACAAATCAGTTTTACTGCTACACCGCTTGTGAGCCAGCAACTCAAGTAGTGTGCCACGATCTAAATTGCCTTTTTGTGTGCACAACTCTTGTTCGTGTCGAGCAATACATTGTGGGAAAAGTATTAGGCGTCTGTCCGAAAGGGTTCGGGAACATTGTCCTGCTTGGCTCAACTGTGTAAGGGAGACGGTAACGAGTGTCATGCTGTTGCACCTGGTTGATTCGAATCAACAAGTCAACAAGCAACAGGACCAATCTACCGGATACCCGGTCACTACACACTAGCGGTCAGATGCCATCTATTGGCTAAAAAAAACCCAGAGATGTGCGCTCAAAAGGGACTCGTACATGCCAGTCGGCTGCACTGGCAATCAAGCAATGTCTCCTGAATCAAGCTTAAGTTGACCAATCATATGGCTTAAACCGATTACACATTTTGATCCCTTTATTCATCGCATTTGCTTATTGCGTGTGATTTTACTCCGCCCATCGTGGTGTATTAGCTTGAAGATGAACCATTGAAAACAAGCTCTTTCGCTACATCTTACTCTTGATATCTTCCGTGGGAATATTTTCGTAATTGAAAATGACAATTACCAGAGGATAGACAACACGGACCTAAGTGGCATTCCCTCTTTTCGGGCCATTGGCAACCCGTACAGCAGTGGTGCTGATGAGCCAATCCGTTTCAAAGTCCCCAAAGTCTCGTGGGCCATACGACTTCGAAGTCAGATGTATAGGTAGAACCAACAGGATCTTGTACACTTACCCTACCGACGTCAGTTCGAGGCCAAATAACCTCCCTAAATGTTTCATGTTTCCGTCATCCGCAAGCGTCATTCATCGCCTGGCACATTTTAGTGCCCGGTCATCGGATCGATGCCATCACGGTGCAACGGAGCACAAAGCTTTTGCGGCTTACCGATGCCGTAGCACTGATCGGGACAAAATCGACTCTCGCTGTGTGCAAAACAATTGATTGTCAACCGTAGCCCATCGTTACCCTAGAATTAACGCCACCGGTCCCTTCACTATATGTGATTTGCGCAGCAACGCCCTGTGATCTCTCAGATAACACATTTCCGCTTACTGTAATGGCCCTAATGAGACAACATGAAATGCGTGTACCTATGGAGAAAAGAAAGATGATGATATCATGTGGCATAGAAAAGTGTTACAGGACTGAAGGTAGCTGTGTCCACATATGAGTAAGAGACAAGAACAGTAATCAATAAGTTGCAAAGAGCTTACTTTCTCATTGGTAAGGTATCCAGGATCAACATAACTGATGACCAGATAGGTCACGATAGATGCAGAGAAAAAGACCAGATACAATATGCCATGTATCAGATTTGTACCTTTGAACAACATACGGTGCAAGCCTGGAAGAAAGGAGGAAAGAGAAGTAAAAGTGTCACCAACGAGCATTCTCTCACAGTATGCGTGATGTGCGGGAAGAAGACCATCATAATTTGGCTAACCATCAAACAGAATAGTGAGGACACCGATCGTAGCGATTGTATGGGCCAGGATAATACAAACCTGATCGCATGAGGCTGGTGCTGGCGTGATGTTCAATTATATATTTAAAGAATACTAGTCGAGAGCAAATTATCAAAGGCAAATGTATTACAGTGAACATCAAAAGACGAGTGGATGCTGTTGAGGAAAGCACCGACAAAGAGGCTGGCGGTAACGTATCGAGACGATAGGCTACCACAGTTGTCAAGGGTGGCCTTGTCAGCACACGAAATCTCAGCATGCGACCTATACAATTCAGTTCAGTTAAACAAATGTGAACCAAGTGCCGAGGTGCCCCGAATCCAGTTGCCACGAATCACGTAGGCAGATTAACACTAAATAGCGAAGAGAAGAAAATAAGGTAGAACGCAAACAGAACCTAACGAAAACGAGATCAAAAAAGGGATGCGCGAAGCTAATCGGAATGGAATAAATACCATCATCAAGATGTAAGAAATAGAGTGCAGGAGCGCCATGGAAGCCGCAACTGTGTGTGGAACACACAACCCGGCGCCCCTATCCACGAAGACAGCATTCACCAACTTGACCAGGCCTATCTGTCAATTTCCTCATGCATTTATGCCACCTCGCAGTATCGGACAAATTGGCGCAGCCACGGCGCTAATCCACGACAAGAAAATCAGCAAACGGATATACGGAGGACATGGCCTAGCCAACGTAAGCGATTAAGATTCAGCAAACTTTCGAGTGAGCCACCAGAAGGCCTTTTGCCGTAAGTCAAATGGCGGATCTTAAGAGTGCTCATCCGGTGTTTCCACCAGATGTGAGAAAAACTTCGCAAGGACCGGCAAAGCGATTATCGTCTTCCCAGCGAACTGGTCACTTCTCGGTTCATACAGTAATCGGCGTGGCCCTGACAAACTGATGTCCCGCAGCCCCCATTAATGTATGAGCGCCTGAAAAGTCAGTCAAGGCTTGCTGATATACGAAGTAACTAACTCAGTGATGTGACCACCAGAGGTAACACTGCGACTGACCTAAGTGAGTAGATCCATCGCTTCCAGAGGCTGTTCGCCGATAGCTAGAACCGGTGGCATATCGGTTAGTCATGTAACAGTAAAACGCGCTCTGAAAGTGAAAAGCACATGTCGGAGCGTGCAGCGATACACACCAGTCTATCCAGTAGTTTGCGAACTGAGATTGAGAAAACCATTTTGTCTCCACTTTTCATATTCTGCTTACTCAGCCACGCCGACCTCACAACAATACCAAAAAGTGCGAGCTGAGAAGGAAATGCTGACTGAATCGATCCAGCTTCATTCACCTATACCATTCGAAGTTCTCTTACTCGTCTAGGCTTCCCTAGATGCCCTCATGTAAACACGTCAGGCGGCAAGATGAAGCCAACTAACTTTGCTTCCAACATCATCTCTATTTCCCATATTTCGCTCTCATTTTTCCTCTTAACCCGTTTACGCCTAACGTGCAGTGAAAACAAAACGCCTGAGCACGATGACAATTGTCAACTATGTTCTCCTAACACACAACAAACAAATCTCCCATTCTATCTGTCTCGGTCCATATGTACAGCAGCTGAACTGAAAATTAATAACTACATCCGGCCTTAATCTTTTTAGAACTCCACAATGTATGGAAAATTTTCAGTCAAAGTCAGATGCAATGTTCAAGAAGTATGATTACAGCTTTGATATTTCTCTTATCACCACAAAATTGGTCTTCATCCTTTACCCAAGGAAAAGAAAATTTGGTTCCTTCCATACACGGAGCTCTCCGTCAGGACACCATGAATTATTCTTTGCCCATTCAAGGCTTTGTATTGGATAACCATGGATTTTAGAAACACGATTTTATTTATGCCTATATATAGTACACGAAACAATAGTAAAAATTTGATCATGCCGAAAAGGGTATGCATCGTAAACCCGAGAATATACATAATTATTATTATTACTACTATTATTATTATTATAGTCATTACGTAGGACCCGAGGAGCGCTATGTCCCCCGCATAATCAAGGCTTGTCAGATGGTCACCCGGCAGGCCTTCTACTACAGAGGAATTTGAATGAATAATCATTTAGGATCATTTTGAGCACAGAGTTAAAGAGGAAATGAGATATAGGACAACTCTAGCAAACCCCATCTGTCGTGGGGAACTTAGGAGAGTTTTCTGTAGACCAAGGTACAGAGAATTCAGAATGTGAGTTTTTCAGACACTACCTTCACAGATGTATAGTGCACCAAGCTAGCTCGATTAGCAGACTCGAAGACGACTTTCAGGTCAAAGAAAACCGCTATGGTCAGTCATCTGTATGTCTATTCACGAAGAGCAAATATATGGTCAATGCAAACACGTACATGGCGAAAGCCAGTCTGGATCTCAGTGATCCGTCTTTCAGGAGAACCCATCCAAAAATGATACAAGTGGAAAATTTGCAGGTACTGAAAGGAAGGCTAGTGCTTAAATGATTTCCGCACAAAGTCCGATGATTCTATATAAAGATTAGCACAACAGTCGCCAGTCTGAAGGCACCTCCTCAGTGTTTCAAAGTGCGGAATAAAGTAGCAAGTCCAGACAACAAAGAGTTACCTCCGGCTTACACCAAAGATGGAAAGATGTCATTCAGTGTAAGAGAAATAACAATACTAAGTATCGGGGTTGCAAGTGTCAGATGAAGCCTGAGAGAAACGCGACCATATAGTGCGATAGTTTGGACAGTTAGAGGTGAAGGAATTCATTCAAGAGCATTGTGATAATGCAAGCTATTGAATGTCAGTATTCAGAAATTAAAAATCTATCCTGGGATTCCAAACGAGCTGTAAAATGAAAAGCTAAATAGTTATACCCATTGAAATCCATACAAGTGATGGGAGCATTCATCATGCGAAGCGATACAAGAGGCTGATCGAGATAACGCGCACTCATGCCGCAGACGGTCATCATTATGACATATTAGCTGAAGATGAGAAACACACTTCAGCTATTGTGCTGCAATACATAAAGATAAAAGTAACATATTATGCGTTTAGAGAGAGATGGTGGTTGGAGGGGCAAGATAAGCGGGATAGGGAGGAACAAAGAAACTCACAACAACTTGAAAATTTCCATTTAAGTCTCTAGAACGAAAGATCATCTGGTGAGCAATTGCTTTCAATGATTCATCATCAGACCATTACAATCATATAGAGGCTAGAATGAGAAATCGACCCAGTTAGTTCAAAATGAGTTGATCAAGTGAAGGTCTATGTCAGAGTGGAGAAAACGAATTAGGTCTTAGAAGGCTAGCTGTTTGCTACCGCGCCTGACCGAAGGCAGGCGACCTGGGGGTCTTCCATCTTCGCTGGCCAGGGAAGCTGGAGAGCCTGGACCAGCTTCTTTTGTGAGCATAAGGACGGCTAGAACAATCGAATGCATATCGCTTCAGCTGTTGCAAGCGTACACAAGAGTACACAACACAAACGCCATTGAAGTCGGCTGTTGGCCATGCCAACTAGACGTGTTCATCGTCCGAACTCCAACCCGGCAGTCGAGACACCAACCAACGCCAACTTCGAAGTGAGCGTCACGATTCCGCTACACTAAGTGATCGCTTGGCTCGCCTTCTCCTCTTCCAACCGCACCACTGGTGCGCAAACAATGCACGTCGCGGGAGTCTGTGCGTTGGCATGCGCAACATGTGGCCCAGCCATCGGAGCGTGGTGCGTGATATGACGGTGCTGAGCGATTCACTCACTCTTCCTAGACTAAATGCACGACGCCGCACCCGCTCATTACTCATGCATTGCTCTCACCAGACATGAGATAAACTGCGAAGGCAGCGATGGTCCAACATAAGCCAGTTCATGTCTGTCGACTTGATGGACCAGGTTTCGCAACTGTACAGTAGGGTTGAACAGATGGCTGAATTGTACACGCTGCCCATCAGAGCGGGAGTGATGTCATGCTGGCGCCACAAGTGGCGGAGATTGGCAAAAACGCCTCGAGATTGTGCTATGCAGTTTGTGATCACATTTTCAATTCCGCTGGCGCTGATATATCTGGCTATATACTTGAATTTCCCGACGAGTTAAAGTTGATCACCACCAAATTATGCAGAGTCGGCTACTCAGCACCATCATTATGACACATTAGTTGAACATGAGAAACATATGTCAACTATTGTGCCGCAATACATAGAGAAAACATACGAAAAAGCAAGATACTGGGTGAAACTCATTGTGGGACCACATGGCTGCGTGCACCAGATCAGTGTGCATAAAGATGATTACACCAAACACGATAAACAGGGCGGCGAAATTTAATCACCTGACTGACCCGTATGCGGATGTTGTGATTTGTTGGTAAGCGGATCGCACGCCGGTATAGCTCTGATTCTATGAAAACGGACCACGAACGATTTAAATGAAAGAAAGAGGTCCCCTGATAGTAAACAGAGCATCGTAAGCATTGTGAATAAGGAATTCATCGAAAATGTTCCATCTATTAACGTCACTGAACGGCTCAAGGCATAAAACCGCTGTCAGGAACGGGTGCACAGGACGAAGTGATACAGGTTACTTACTCGACGGAAGAAGTAGTAACGGCAGCATAATGCATAGGCAAATTGAAAGGTGAAATATGCGGACACAATGCTGCGGAAAGCATTTTGTCATCGCGCAGGATTCGGTGCATCAGACAGCTTCAAGTAGCTAGGCTAATGTTCCCCCCCAGGTAGCTGTGAGCAAGAACGGCACACCGGTTGTTACGTCAGTCTGCAGATGGAAACGGAAATGATGAAAGAATACCAAAAGGTAGTGTCATTTACAGCAATGACTATCAGAAAACTATGAAGGGAGCAAAACGGTAAGGAAAAGCGGATGCGCGTAGACAAAATGTGCTTATTGGAAAAAATAAGTAAAAAGCAAGGTACAAACAAAACGGATAGCATAAAAAACAAATGTGCCAATGATGAAGAAACTTGGGAGTGAACCGACCATATGATGTGGCACAGTGTCAGTCGTACTATGGGTCCAGAGACGTCCAGGACACGAGCAAGGTAAGTTACATGAAGCTGGCTAAACGTTCTACTGCGTGGGAAACGTAACCTTAGCACCACGTGAACATGGGGTCGTATTTGCACTATCCCATCGCCTAAATGATCAGGTGGTGGGCGAGCCCACTGGCATCAGCCCGCGACTGATGACTGTTCGCCTACGATCCAAAAGAGTTAGGTTTGCCACTTATATGACCACGTACGGTCCGACCATGTGTTATCCTGATGACACGCGTGATCAGTTCTACAATCAGCTATCCTCCGTGATACGGTCTGTGCCGAGGACCGACCGACTATTTCTGCTGGATGATTTCAACGTGCGCGTTGGGTGTGATGCATCGGTGTGGACAGATGTCATCGGTCCGCATGGCATTGGTTCAGTGAACGCAAACGGTGACAGGCTGCCTGATGATCACGAACACACGGTTTGCATTGAGTGCGAGTGATATAGCAACTTAGACGCACCCACGGAGTAGTCACAGTCACCTGCTCGACTATGTCATCCTACGAATGCGTCACATGCATGAAGTGCGCATGACAAGTGTACTGTGTAGAGCTAGTGTGGCAGTAACCATAAATTGGTGCGGATTCAATTGTACATCAACCTGCAGTAAAGTACGTACTGTGTACCTGCATGAACAGGAGGCGTACATATAGCATTCTCACCCTCGGTACTGTGGAAAATGGTATTGAACTGGAGAAAGCGATGGCTGCACGACTATGTGATGTGAAGTGCACAGCCACAGTGGGCGACCTGTGGCGCCACATTCGTGACCAGGTGACAGCTTCTGCCAAGGAGAGTACCGGGAACGTAAACTGTAAGCGGTCCGACTGGTTTGAAGAGAACAATGAGACGATTGGAGCATCGATGTCTAAGAAGAATGTAGCATTTGCAGCACATGTGGCAGACCCCAGTGACTTGGGGAAGAAGAGTCAATTTCGCAAACTTCGACGGCGACTGAGCCGACAGCTCCGTCGCATTAAAAATGCATGATGGACGGAGAAGGCGAAGCCGATGAAATGCTACGCCGAATGCAGTGTACGAACCAAAGTTGGAGCCGATAAGGACGCTGATCGATGGTAGCTCAGGCGCTACCTGCACACAGACTGCAGACATAATGCAGATCTGGCGAAAACACTGACTGTCTCTTGAACAATCGTTCGGAGATTGACTGGCCTACATTGAACGGCCTGAAACAGCACGAGGTGAAGGTGAATCTGGGGGACACTGCATGAGACGCAGATAGCACTTGTTCAGCTGCGAAAGGGCAACGGTGCCGACGCTGACGGCATCCCGCCTGAAGTATTGATGAATGCGCTGTGGAATGAGTTGCAGGATGCGCTTGTGCTCCCACTGTACGAGTGTAAAGAAAGCAAGCAATATACCCCGAATAAACGTGGTACCAACTTGCTGTTGTGTGGGCAAGGTGCTTGACAGAATCCTGCTCAATCGCCTTGTCAGTCAGGTTGCGGAAGAGCAATGTGGATTCCGTTCGGGTTGCAGCACCACAGATACAGTGTTTGTGGCTCGTCAGTTGGAGAAATGCAGAGAACGACACCAACCACTGTACTCGCTGCTTGTTGACTTCACCAAGGCATTTGATACGGCGAACTGCGAGGCATTGTGGCTGATGTTGGGTAAGTTTGTAATTTTAATTGAATGTCTGCACAGTGGTATGCGGGCGAGGGTGAAGCTGAGTGGACAGACCTCGGATGACTTTGCAGTTGTCTCTGGTGTGAAGCAAGGCTGCGTTTTAGCCCCCATGCTGTTTAATATGTACCTCCATTCAAGGTGGCCCTGTAGTTTTTATGCTGCTTGTGATTACGGTGTCCGTGTGGAGCGCCGTATTGATAGAGTCGTTGAACATCCGCCGTTTCGGAGCGATAACCCTGGGGTGTGAGACAACCATCCGTACGTTGCGGTTTGTTGGCGACTGTGTGTTGTTTGCACACAGCGTGAATGAGCTGCAGCACATGACCTCGGTTCTCGCTCCGATAGCGAACAAGTTCAGGTTCACCATCAACACAAACAACACTTCATTTTCAGCCTTCTCTAGAAATTGAGTCCGTGGGCCTGCTGCAAATCGACATTGGTGTTGACGTTTCGGAAACCACATTGGGAGCGCACTGTCTATCGACTTTTAGTTGATGAGCGAGCAGCGCGTCCGCTGCTGCGTTTGGCAAACTGGAGAAACGTGTGTGAAAGATCCATCAGCCGTCCGGTATTCAATACGGCAGCGAAACCTGGACGATGTACAGGAAGGAGGTAAGATATATGGAGCAGTTTCATCAACAGCATCTACGACGGATTTTGCGCATCGGTTGGTGCGACAGAGTTGTAGACAAGGAAGTGCTGAACCGCAGTGGTATGTAAGCAGTAGATTGCATACATTTGCTGAGGCATCTGAGGTCGCTCGGGCATATTCGCTGCATGGATTTGACCCAGATACCGAAACAGTTGCTACATAGCAAACTGCCTGTAGGGAAGCGGCATGTGGGAAAACCAAAGTTACGTTACCAGGACATGGTCAGTGTGAGTTAATCACGAATTAATGTTTATTTCAGGTGATGGGAAGCGATGGCAGTGGACCGGCACCGATGGCGAGAACGTATCAAGAGGATGGTTGCCCAGGTGCATGAGAAATCACTACTGAGGTGTTTTCTACCTCTACCTAACTTGTATAATGATGAGAATGACTGCAGAGGGGCATGAAACGTCAGTTGAGAAAGCGACAGGCACCAATGGTGGATAGCCCACTGTGTTGCGGCACATATGGTCGAGAGTCAGCGGTACGTTCGACCTTACTGTACGGTTGCGAAACCTGGCCCATAAGATCGGCGGACATGAAGAGGCTAGTTACGTTCGACCATCGGTGCCTTCGCAGTTTGGCTCACATCTGGTGGGAACACCGCGTGAGTAACGAGCGTGTTCGACGCCTGGTTTACGGCCTAGGAAAAGGGAATGAACCGCTCAGCACCGTCATTTCACTCACCAGGCTCCGATGGCTGGGCCACGTGTTGCGCATGCCAGCCCACCGACTCTCGCGACGTGCGTTGTTTGCTCACCGGGGATGTGGGTGGAAGAAGAGGAGAGGTGGCCAAGCGATGACTTGGTCCAGAGGAATGAAGGCCCTCACTTCGGAGCTGGCCTCAGTTGGAGCTTCACGGCTCCCTGGTTGGGGTCCAAAAGACGGTGAACACGTTTGGCTGGATACACTTGCTGATATGGCAAGGAGCCGACCTCAGTGGCGTTCGTGCTGTGAGTTTCCTTGTCCCTCCCCATCCCTTTAGCCTCCCCCTCCATCTACGATCTTATTTCGTAGGGTAAAACGTAATTAAATTTTTGGTTTTGCCTAGTAGCCGGCTAGTAGCTTACCGGAACGATGCGTATCCGTTGCTGGTAGCTCAGCTGGCATTCAACTGTTGTATTTATTTTTCCTTTATGTATTGTATGTATGTATGTATTTCCTTTATGTATTGCGGTACAATAGCGGAGGTGTTTTACCATCTCTAGCTGACATGTATAATGATGATGACGGTCGAGAGTGCCTTAGCCAAGGTGTCATAGTAAGCCACCAGTGTTCTCATGCGGGGCTACCATCAAAGAAAAGACGAGTAAAGTAAGGCGAAAAGAAAAAAGAAAGAAAAGACGAGTAAGGTAAGTATGCAATCATCATTAGAGCAGCGCTTGGTAAATACGCTATTCCGGGTTCAATTGCATTTACTAACATAGCCAATAATGCAGTTGATTTGGTACGTGTGTTACATCATCGGTTCATTTGGCATATACGAGTGTCCACCTGTTGAGATCCTTGTATTTCAAGGGGTGGTTGTTGATTGGTATCCCCGGTGTGACAGCGCTTGATGTGAATGTTGACAAGGTATCTATCTGTTTAAAACGCCCCACCTCGATTACTGGCCCAGAGAGAATACCGATCGTTGCTGCGGAGACAGGGTACAACTGGTGACCACGCTATGCTCAAAGAGTAGTTCCGTCCAGTGTGGAGTGGGCTATGGCCGAGCCATCGCATTGAAAAATCCCTTCTGATATACTACAATGGAGGGGTTAAGCAGTGATGAAGAAAAGAAAAATGCATTATCAATCATGCAAGCGGTCTTGCAATTGATGAATCACTACTTTGGGTCTACAAACAAGCGAGATAAATAGGGCAGGATGGAGTTGCGATATGAAGAAGTACAAGAAAATAAAACATTGGAATTCGACGGCGTGAAAGAAGTAGATACCGTACTGGTTAGAACATAGTGTAAAGGTGAGAGGGCTCATTTAGAATCTGGAAAAAAAAGTTGAAGCATGAGTCAAGATAGTTGCTAACCATAAAATCAACGAAGGATTCTTTGCTTAATCCAGACCAGGAAGAAGTAAAGTTTAGTGAGGGGACAAGACTAAAATCCTTTTGAAGAAGCCTGAGGAAAATAAAAAAGGAACAGTATAACCAATGGGAGAGAATACAAGCATTTACAAATCATAAAATCACAACACGCAGTAAAGAGAGCATTTGACCCTGAGGGCGTATAAGAATAGACTTCTGACTTGGAAAATTTTCTAGAATGTGTGAACCAGGACAAAGTGTAGACAAAATATGATATTTTACGGAATACACACGGGGGGTTTTGCTCACTCACGAACAAAAGAGGAGAGGCATGTAAAACAGAACGCAAGATGTCGGAGTGGAGAAAATATAATGCGACATCACAACACTTAGAAGAGTAAAAGGACCGGAAGTTTGACCACATCGTCGAATCCTCGGTGGAGTTCCGATTCCACAATTACTGGGCCATACACTTTGGGATGTGGTCATCAGTGCATTTGCATCCGATAAAATTGGATGGTATGGGTACAACTTCGATGAGATGGTAAACAGAAGAAGGGTAAAATAGTTCCTAGCAAAACACTACAATTGTCTGGGATTACTTAAGACACTCTAGCACAGAACTGTAATGCATTACATTACAAACACACTGGGGAACGCCATTTAGGAGCAAAAGGTTTAGTGGCAATGACCGATCAACGTTCCCAAAGCCATTGTGAGATCGCCTGCGAAAATGCGGGGATTAGTAATTTTACAAGCACCTTAAAAGAACAGAGGTCCGACGAGACTAGACCTTAACGTGGTGCGATGGTTTGTATACTTAGGTGATCCATTGAGCTGTGCTGGGTGGCGTTTATTCGCACCTTCAGAGCCACTCATACCAGATTGATCAACGGTTAGAGGCTGGACAAACTCAGTCCCCTGGCCCTCCAGGCAGGGGGTTGGAGTGTCGCGCCTTAGTTCATAAGACGGACTCTCTGTAAAACAATGCCAAAACCCTACTGCTTTGTAACCAGGTGTTTGGACCAAAGGATTTGGTTAAGAACCACAATCGTTCTCCTGTCTAAACTTGGGCAACCTGACAACATCTCACCCATGCAATATCATGAGTCTCCCTTCAGACAATTCATTGATGTTCTGGTCGTCGCGGAGGAAAATAATGCGCCCTAGCTACTGCATCGAGCAGAGTGGACAGGGTTTGGATGCAACTGCTCAGGCCTTCCCGTCCTCTTACTCCCCAATTTTCCGATTGTTTAAGCCTATTGTCCCGTTACAACCACACCTCTATCCCCCGGTTTTTGACCCCTTAGTTCGTGGCCCTATCCCACTTGCTTTGATAGGTGTTTATAATTTAGTTTAAATGCACATGCAAAGGTGGAGTATCACACCTGCCCTGTTGATACGCCCATGTCTATCCAAGCGATCAAACACAGTTTATCGGCTTCTATTTAGAGCCCTCCGTCCTCCCTCAGATTGGCATTTGTAAAGCCTGGACAATAGTAATCACATGCCCGAACATTGGAGACCCTCTCGACCACTATCCGTTGCACATCGGGAACCCGCTTGTGAGATTCGAGCTATGTGCTCAGTTTGTGATCCCCTTCAGGTGATATCAATAGTGCTTTCTCACTGCGTCTACCCGAAGATGATGCAGCTTCGAGTGCCGGCCAAGCCATAAGTCCCCGGGCTGAAGCTTCTCAGGATGATTGGATCCCAAACAGCAGCCGAATGAGTGCCGTCCAAATCGCTAGTTCGTTCAAAGCTTCGAAGACACGTGGGTCTACTGGGTGTCTGTTTGTCATCGCTGCCAATGCGACCACATACGGTTGTGCTGACTTGGTGAAAGACAAATACTATCGCCAACCGAACGAGCTCCTTTGTCACCAAAGATGCACAGATACTGTGGAGCTGGCAGGGAATTTGAACGCTCAAGTTGGGAAACTGTCCACCGATGAGCTGCATCTGGACGGCCAACAGGATGTGGGCTCCCGTAATGACAACGGTGAGTGAGTACTTCATTAGTGTGAAGACGCTCGCTCATTTCTCGCGAGCATTAACTTCCGACAAAGCACCCACCGGAGGGTGACATGGCACCCACTAGCCTCGAACCAGATATGGAAGCAAATCGACCACATCGTGATCAGTTACCGCTGGAGTGTCTGCGTCCAAAACTGTCGCTCGATTTGAAGCACATGTGTAGACACCGAGCAAGCACTTGTATGTGCTGATCTGCGGGTGTGTTTAAACGGGCGTCCGCGACGAGGCTGTGGGCGCATAGACACCAGGCAGCTGGCGAAGCATGATGTTCTAAACACGTATCGAAATACTCAGACATTCGGGTTGATTAAGCGCTCACTGTATCCAACTGTAGTCCACTGGTCGCATGTTCACCAGATCTTAATTGCAGCAGGCAAATCGAATAGACAAACAGGACACTGGGTCTCTAAGCAGTCTCTGGAACTCACCGGCACATTTCGGTTGGAAGCGAACACAACGAGAGTCACAATGACATCGGCGTAAAATACCGTGCAAGCCTGAAGAGAAACCGAGAAGACTAGTGGTTTCATCGTGTATCAGAGATGGAAGCAGCCGCTGCCCTTGGTAACCATCGTAAATTATTCCGTCTAATACGGGAAACGGGAAGCAGGAAACCTGATGTTAGTGAACCTATACGTGACGAGAGTGGACAGCCTATCCACAACATGTCAAAACGCTTGGAGTGTTAGGCTGAGCAATTTGAAAGGCAATTTAATCGGCCGGAATGGTCAGATTTCACGCATGGAAGCGATCGCCCTGCTCCCTTTTGATCCACTCTCTCGCTCAGAAGTCTAATGTAAGATCGGACTGCTGAACTTGAACAAGGCCGCCGAACCAGATGATCTTTATCCAGCCCTCCTCACATTCAACGGACCTGCTCTTGTGAATGGTTTGCAAGGGTTACTAGTGAAACAATGGAAGCAAGAAACTATCCTAACCGACTGAGTCCGCTCCGTTATTGTCCGGATCTTCAAAGGAGGCGCAAGTTCGGAATGGGGTAACCATAAACGACTCAGTTTGGTCTCCGTCACCATCAAATTGCTTGCCTCTCATCCTTCACAGACTGACTGGCACTCGTGAAAGTCAGATACGTGAAGAGGAAACCGGGTATCATCGAGGTCAGGGCTGCATCGATCACGTCTTTACGTGACGATTGTTGGAGCGCCGTCAAATATATTAGCGACCTACGGTTAACGTGTTCCTCGACATCCAATGTGCGTTCGAATCGGTTGATCGGTGCTATTTGGGAGTGGCTACTTAAGAAAGGTGTGCTCGAGAAACATGCAAATATTGTCTGAGCGCTTTAAGCGCGTAGCTCGGGCAGTGTGAGGGCTCACGGCAAGCTAACGCCGCCCTTCAATCTCTCCAGCGATGTAAGACAGGGTTGATCGCTGTCACCTTTCCTCTTTAACTACGTTATTGACGAAGTCATGGAAAAGGCGTTCAACAGACAGGACTTAGGTGTGGATTTGCTCTCAAGTGAATAACTTCTTGACTTGGAGTATGCTGACGAGATTGTCCTCATCTCTGAGAGCTCACAAACGTGCCAAACAGCACTAGACAGATAAGCACTGGCTGTTAACCGCTTCTGGCTTTGTTTTGCATCCTCGAAGTGTAAAGCTTTCCTCCAAAATTGGAAGGGACCGATTCGTACGCTGACACTTGGTGGGGATCAAGGATAAATCGTTCAAATGTGCAACTACCTAGGCAGTTGTATGGGTGCGTGTAGAATCGAAGACGAGGTCACAAAGGGAATAGCAAAAATCCGAGGCACTTCAGCTAACCATCGCCACCTATGGCGCCGGCGCGACATCAAAATGCAGCCGTACATCCGACCCTAAAGTACGGTTGTGAAACTTGGTGCATTAAATCAGCAGTCGTAAAGAGGCTAGTTGCGTTTGACCACCGGTGACGTTACAGTTGTGTTCACATTTGGTGGGAACACCGAGTGAGCAATAAGCAATGGTATTAGATGAGGAAAGGAACCCTTCAGTACCAGTAGTTCACGAACTAGCCTCCGATGCCTGCGTCACGCGTTGTGTATGCCAATACACCGACTTTCGCGAGCGATATGCGTTGTATACGCGCCAAGGTGTGGAGGGAAAAAGATGTAAAGAGGCCAACCGACGGCATGGCCAAAAGAATGAAAGTCCTCACTTTAAAGTTGAACTCGGTTGAAGCCTCTCAGCTCCCTGATTAGGACTCAAAAGACACGTTTGGCTGCATACACTTGTTGACATGGCTAGGAACCGATCGCTGTGGCGTTTGTGTTGTGAGTTTCTTTGTCTCGCAGTCTCCCGCTAATCCTCCCCCTCCAGCCATGATCTCAATCTGTTAATGTTACCTTTATGTGGCACAACAGTCGACTGCTAGCTCTCGGGAACGAGGTATATCCGTTACTGGTGACTCGGCTGCCGCGGCCGTGTTGCGTCTCTGTATTATTGTGTATTGCGGCATAATGGTTAAGGTGTCCCCACCTCCAGCTAAGGTGTATAATGAACGAATGAATGACGGAGGTGCACGCTATTGGTTGATAGTTCTGTGATTTCTTAATTGGCCCTAGTGTTGTTCGGACTAAATTCTAGATACCGGGGTGTAAGAAGTGATTGTAATGCATTCGCACACTCTTTCAGAACAGTTAGTAAAGGGGATCCACGGCTACTAGCCGTGTTTGGCTTCAGTATCGTGAATTTCTTGCAAGCACTGGTGTTGACAGG